TTGAAGTACAACATTTCCAACGTGCCGTACGATTGGAACTGGAACCTCAATCCCAATTTGCGGTATCTAAATTTGTCAGGCAACAAACGCTTAGAAATCAAACAGAACAATCATGGGAGCGCTGCCCAGAGTCGCGAGCAGTACACCGATTTCAGCCGCCTGCTAAACCTTCGCGTCCTTGGGCTGATGGATGTAACTCTTACTCAACCCAGTATACCTGATCAAAGTGAAGACCGTCGTGTAAGGACGTCCGGCTCCTTGGCAGGGCATCTTCCATATGGTATGGCGGACACGATGGGAAGAAATGAGCACTTGTCTACCATTGACCTCGTAGTCCCCCGATTCAATTCATTGGATACGGATACGCTTCTTGGTTTATTTGACGGTCAAGCCCTTTCTAGCGGTGGCTCTAAGATAGCCAAGTACCTGCATGAGAACTTTGGGCATATATTCACAATGGAATTGAACACTCTCAAGACGCCGAAGGAAGGACCTCACGACGCCCTACGTCGTGCTTTTCTTGCTCTTAATAAAGATTTAGTCACTATAGCTATCGAGCACACAGAGAAGAGGCCAATGGGTACGCATCGCGGGTCCGGAGCCCCTGTCGTCTTGAGTAAGGAAGATCTCAACTCAGGAGGTGTTGCCACCATCGCGTATCTCACATCCCAAGATTTATATGTTGCCAACGTCGGTGATGCACAAGCCATGCTGATCCAGTCGGACGGCACTCATAAGATTTTGACGCGAAAACATGATCCGGCCGAACCCACAGAACGCCAGCGGATCCGGGATGCCGGTGGTTGGGTATCCCGCCAGGGGAAATTGAACGATCTTCTCGAGGTCTCCCGTGCCTTTGGCTATGTTGACTTAATGCCGGCCGTACAAGCAGCCCCCGATGTCAACCATGTGAAAATCACACCCCAGGATGAAACAATCGTGATTGCGACTAGGGAGCTATGGGAGTACCTCAGACCTGCGTTGATTGTTGACGTCTCACGGTCCGAGCGGGGCGACCTCATGCGAGCCTCGCAAAAGCTGCGCGATCTTGCTATGGCCTATGGCTCAACTAGCAAGATTATGGTTATGATGATCAGCGTTGCCGATCTCAAGCGACGACAAGATAGGTCGACGCGTCTGCATAGGGGACAGAGCATGTCTTTATACCCCTCAGGTGTTCCGGACGAATTTCAATACCCGGCAAAGCGAGGCAAGAAACCAAAAGGTGGGATTCTTGACTCTGATTTGCACCGACTTGAGGCTGAAGTGCCTGCACCGACCGTTAAGCCCTCAATTGTCTTCACGGATATTAAAAATTCTACTAATCTTTGGGAGATGTATCCCGATGCTATGAGATCATCTATTAAACTTCACAACGAGGTCATGCGCCGGCAGCTTCGTCGAATCGGCGGGTACGAAGTCAAGACAGAAGGTGATGCTTTCATGGTTTCCTTTCCCACCGCCACATCTGCCCTCCTATGGTGCTTTGCCGTTCAAATGCAGCTCCTTGAGGTGAACTGGCCATCCGACGTGCTTAACTCGGTCTCATGTCAGGAACTTTACGACAAGGATAACAATCTGATCTTCAAGGGCCTTTCTGTTCGAATGGGTATTCACTTCGGCGAACCAGTCGCTGAGATCGACCCTGTTACTCGTCGCATGGACTACTTTGGGCCAATGGTCAATAAAGCGTCGCGTATTTCGGCAGTCGCCGATGGTGGTCAGATTGCAGTTTCTGCAGATTTTATCTCTGAAATTCAGCGATGCTTAGAGACATACCAAGAAAACGATCGGAATGGATCGACAGGCTCCGACGAAGCATTTGATGATACCGCAACTGCATTAGCTATCCGGAAAGAACTAAAGTCACTCAGTTCTCAAGGTTTCGAGGTTAAAGAATTAGGCGAGAGGAAACTAAAGGGACTCGAAAATCCCGAGTACGTCTATTCCCTTTACCCACACGCACTCGCCGGCAGGATTGATTACCACATGGTGCCTCCCGCGGCGGCGGGCCTGTCCGATCAGCCTACACGTCTTATGCCTGGAAGTGAACTCGGCATGGATCCAGAGATGCTTTGGTCTCTATGGAAAGTTAGTCTACGCCTAGAAATGCTCTGCAGCTCGTTGGAGGAAGTGTCTGGGAGAGGCTTGCAGCCCCCTGAAACCGAGCTGCTTGAGCGTATGAAGCAGCGTGGTGGTGAGGTCACAGACCGTTTCCTATACAATTTCATGGAGCATCAAGTCAGCCGCATTGAAGTAAGCCGCCGATCCCCGCGTATATTTCTAATCAATTAGCTAACTAGCTCCTATAGACTTGTATCTCAACCTTGTCTCTGCGACACATTGCTATGGGTGGCGGTCATATCAAACAACTAGATGATCTTCGCGCACCAATGGCAGTCATACTCGGCCATATTACTAAACAAATGACTGAGCTTGAAAAGTACAGGGCCAGGTATGGTCCCCTTGAAAATTCCGAGGGCGAGGGAAGCGAAACAGAACAAGAGTAGCGAAACTTTTCCGATGTCCCTTCCTCTCAGCCTACGGAATCCTGTACTATAGCACACACCCATGGCGATTATTTCGATTCGAGTCACTAGCACCATGAACTCGGTCACATTCTATCCGGCACAGCGTTATACTATATTTTAATTTTTGAAATGCGCTACGAAATCATCTCTTAACGGAGGCACCAAGAGGATAGCCTGTTTTGTTTAAGTTCAAGGTCGGTGGAGGGGGGACATGGCGTTTCCTAGGAGCAAGCATACCAGGATCAACAAAAAAAGGAATCTGTTTCACTATGAGAGCTCTAGCCTCCATCATGTCTGATCTCGAACTCCTCGATACCTGGAAAGGGTTGGTTGGCGATACTTGGGGATCGTGGCATTGGATCGCCACGATCGTAGATGATTACACTGTAATATGGACCTGTATCGGGCGTTGCGGTATTTGAACGAATTGGGTTTAAAGCAAGGGCTTATCAAGTCTCGCTAAGCATCGCAGCGGCCGACGTTTGGAAGGTGTGTCGGCTCGCCAGTAAATAGGCGGAAATGGTTGGCTGGACTAGTATTAATCGATAACCAACATTATGAATATACTTTTTTGGGATATCGTCAGCCCCTGTTTGAATAAATCACTGGCGATCCTCACGTCTCACATCCGGATCTCTGGGGCTTGAATCTCAGTATATTAACCCAGAGATCTCCGGGGATAACTTGAGCCCGTCTACGTACTCGCTCTACGTGAGAATACGGACAGCCATGGGGAATATCGATAGGCTATTAGTCGATCGGCGCCTAAAATCGACGAACTCGAGACTATTGTGTCGGGGCCTTTAGGGGCGTTCTCTGGGTAGATGCGGTTTAGCCTACTGATTGGGGAGTGAACGGCTAGCCACTGAGTCTCGTTTACCCGCCTCTACGCCCGAGGAACCATGGGTTCACCTGATATAGGGATGGATTGGTTGTTTTAGCTTGAGTCTAGAGTATGTATATATGAATGATAGTCTTTTATCGTTATTTTGTCATTAGATATAGATAGGCAAAAGATAAAAGAGACGCTGCTGCCGTGCTAGAATTCGCAGCGTGATTTTGCATCTGACCTACCTTTTTTTTTTTTTGCTGATTTTCATCTTTCGGTTTTCTCTTAGTGTCACTTGGATCGTTTTATTTTCAAGTAGCTATCTATCTAGCTAACTCATTCACTCGGTGAACAATTCATCAGCGCACACGAAAGGGGAAACCGAGAATACTTATGTAGGTAGGTATTTTTTTTAAATATGGAATCGAATTAAATACGCACACTCACTCCCCTCTTTTCCCGGATTAGTTCCCATATCCTATTCTTATCCTCGTAACCCGACCTCCCACACTTGTGCTTCCCCTCAGCGGAGGAAAGATAGACGGATGGATAAAGATAGATAGACTTAGAGGTCTCTGCACGCATTACACTCGCCGCGTCTAACAAGCGTCTTGTAGGGCCCGTCCCTACGTCCGCACCGACCAAAGCGCGCCCGACCTAGCCACAGCGAAGCACGCGTGCCTGACGAATAGCTTTATGTACGTGTTGGCGCCGCAGTTTACGCACGCTGTGACTTCGTGCTCCGAATAACACATTGTTTTTCACTTTTGACCTTGGTGCTCTTGTAGCGCGGTTCGGGGTTATTGATATTTGGGTTTTGGGGGGGTTCGCTTACTTACTTGCTTATTTGCTGTGTTAATATTGTTGGTTCTCGTGAATTGGGTCTGGTATTCGTCGTCTCTTCGGAGCGGTTGTGGTTTGTTCTGGCTGGGCTTATGGCTTATATATATTATGGAGCTCTGTATGCTTTTGTCTTGGGAGGTGGACTCGGCTTTGAGAATGCATTGTTCGAGGGAACAATGAAGGAACGGGGTCACGCCTTATTCCGTTTGGACCATGAAGGTAGTAGTATGTGGAGTCCTTGTCAAAGGAGAATACTTCATTATCTTCGTCACGTTCATGTGATCAGGTCCTCGTATCCTCAGGGTTGGCCTTAGTATCAGGGAAGTAAAGTGGTGATGATGGCTGGGTAGGATGTGGAAAATGTAGTAGGTAGTTTAGTAACCTTGACATCAAGTCTTTGCAATACAATTGACTGAGAAGTAAAACCGCATGTACTTGGAGAAGATGGTGTCAAATGACGAATTTATGGCAAGAGGAGGTAGTAGCATGCATTCGAGAGTGAAGAATGAGGTGGAAGGGAGAAAGGGAGGGAGACCTCAGGATTTGAAGCCAAAGAGACAGTCAACAAACACCACCAACAAACCACCCTTCCCACGTACCTAGCAGACCTCGTCGATTCCACTAGGAATGGCTACCTACCTACATGTATATATATTTATTTTACGAAAGGGTATGTTGCTCCGAGAGGAAGCGTGAGTTGAAAAAAAGTAAGCAGAAGCAAGGGATGGATGAAGCAAGTGCCAGAGAGGGGGGGGGGGGAAAAATGAAAACAAGAAAACAAACGAAAGGGCAAAAAATGCACCAGCCGGGACTTGCACCCAGGTCTCTTCCTTCCTTCCTACCTCCTGTGGAAGATTGGGAGGGAAGTGAGTTAACTACTACTCTACTGGTGCCATTTACTGTCTCTCCTTGCTGTTGAGATTCTCTTCGTGTATCTCCTTACTTATGTATCCTGCCCTTGCCTGAGTAACACGGTGCGTTGCTGCTAGCTAGATGTTGTTTGCTTGCTTGTGTGTGACGCCATCTGACCGGGTACTTGGGTACTCAGCTTCCCTGATCCTAGGGAGGTAGGCAGGCATTCACGTTTGCACATGCTGCTGCTTGTCTTGGTCGGTGCTGAGTACCTACTTAGAGGGAGGTATTGTATACACTTAGGTACCTATACAGATACGCAAATAACTTATTCAATCCCACACTATCCTATCCTATCCTATCCTATCCTATCCCCACGCTACTATAGGCGAGAGAGGTATTCGTTCCCATGCGTCCTTGGCCTGCCTCACTGACTGACTGACTAATTGTCTCAGGCAGCCAGCCAGCCAGCCTACATGACATAACACATACCGACCTGGGATCGTGTACGACTTCAGCATCTAAGCTACAGCTGGGAGGTGTTTACATTTGTATTAAGAATTATTTAATCGAGACTATTTGTGTGAGGTTTATAGAGAGATATATATACATATATGTCAAGCCATATAACCTCTTTTACACTTAGGAAAGTCAATATATATAATATCCTCACCTACCTATATAAATCCCTCTAGAAATACTGTATATACTATACGTTGCTACTATAATCTACATACATACTGCGTATTGGTCCTTGCCACGAAGCCATCGGTGTGCGGTTACCCGCGTCTACAAGGCCACCCATCATCATCTCGCTGATATGATGTACAACCAATCAACGATACACGGGCCTACTGCAACACAGCACATAGAGTATAGTATGGTTAGCTACCCAGTGTATATCGTATCACATCAAGCTCGTCAAGAGAAACAGGCAAACTAAATTGTGAAAAAAAAAAGTCGAGTCTGTCTATTCACCACCCTGATTACCAACTTGTAAGGGGTATAACTTGCTACATGACAGCATCGCCTAGCACGACGAGATATAGTGACTCGCCGGCCTTCATTCTATGGGTAGTAGTTCCAGCACGCTCGCCCATCAATACTTTCCCTTCCTCGTTCAAATCCAATACACCTTAAACTGACAAACGCAACTTCATACAGTGTGCCGTGTCCTGAATCTGGGCCATCCATCTCTCTATCTAGATACCCACATACCACTCATCTCCAAAAGACAGCAGTGTCGTACATAACGGAGGACTAGTCAAGCAACCTGCCTAATGCTAGCGCGCCGTGAAAATATGGCCAAAGGGGTATATATATATGCAGTCCAGTCCCAAGAAACATAATACACATGCAAAGCAAAACATTATCCTCCTTTCCTATTAAAGACGGCTCAATTGCACGCCAAGACATCTCGCTAGATAATTCTCACGATCCCGTAAGCTTCCTCCACCAGCTACTCCGAGGCGTTGCGTCCATGAACAACGATTCGCGCTGCGCCGCTTCACGTTGCGCCGCTTCGCGTTGCGCCTTTTCCCCGCTACCGTCTGACCCGCCCGCACGACGGTCCCGGCGCTCACGCTCTTCGCGTCGTGCACGCCTTCGTCTCTGGTCATCCTCTCGTCTCTGATCCTCCTCGTAGTCTCCCTTCGTGTCATCATATCTCTCCCGCCGACGAGCAGCTCGCCGAGCCGCACGCCGGGCTTCTTCATCATCCATGGCCGGGGGGGCGTCCGTCATGTGCCCGTCCTCCGGAGGCGGGCCCGCATCGGAATGCTCTTTCACCCACGAGCTGGTACCCGAGTGTGGCCAAGTTGGCGTTCTTTTCTTGCTACGTTCGTCGTCTGTGTGCCTTGAAGACCTTTCTCGGGGGTACACATAGCCATCCATGGGCATGGACCGATTGCGACTGGCCTTTTCAGCCCGCCTGGCCTCGCGCCTCCGTCGGCGTTCCTCGTCATCTTCGGATCCTTCTGCGTGTCGCATACGTCGTCGCTCAGCCCGGGCAGCCCGACGGGCTTCTGCCTCCGCTTCCTCCATAGCCGCAGCTTCTTTTTCGAGCCTGCGGCGGCGGCGTCGTTCTGTCCTCTCAGCCTCTTTCGCTTCGGCTTCCTCGTTTGCGAGGCGCTGCGCTTCACGTTCTCGTGCAGCTCGGCGCTCCACTCGTCGGGCTTCTCGCTCCTCTTGTCTACGGGCATCTTCCTCTTCCTCTTCTTGACGTCTGCGCCTCTCGCGCCGCGCATCTTTGGCACGCCGAGCTTCATCCTGTCCTTGTTCTTTCATGGCCCGGCGAGCGGCGCGCCGGGCTTCCCGATCGGCGTCAATCTCGGGCTCTGCATTGCTCACGCCCCTTGAGCGCCTTGCTCTCTTATCGGGCCTTGCCTCATCGTCGGTCGCGTGATATGTACTTCGACGGCGGGTTTCAGGGCGAGGCTCGGGACGAGAATTTGAAGACCTAAAACCACCAAAAAGGCCAGAGATACCCTTCTTGGCACTTGAGCTAGACCTTCTCAAAGGTGTCGCGTCGGCGGGGCCCCGCTCGTCAAACATGACTGCATCGTCGTATGGCTTTGCCTGTTTTGAGTTAGCAAACTGGGGCTTAATCAAGACTGGTCTTTTTACCTTTGATCGCTTGCGCGCCGACTTATCGGGGCTTGATGCAAAATCGCGGGTTCCAACCATGACGATGTCCTCTTCTTCCGCGTCACGGGGAGTTCTCGAGGTTCTTCTACGACCCTTGTCCGCTCCTAGAAAACGCGCCGCCTTCGTGGCCATCTCGGGCATTTCTTCGGGAGGTGGTGACACGAGTCCGCCGCTCATCTCAATGGAGTGACGTCGTGAGCTCGATTTGGTCGCGTGCTTGTCGCGTGTTGACATTGAGCGCGAGAGGGGTGGTGTGCTTTGGAAAAGACTATTCATACGTGGCGCGGAGGCTGGCGGAGCTCTCTTATCTTGTTGTTCTGCTTTATCTGAGGCTGAACCCTTGGAAGATACTCTCTCTTCTCTCTCCTTCCTTGTCTTGGCGTCGGACCTAGACTTTGATGATTTCTTCTCTTCCTTATACGGCGTAGCTGAAGCCCCCCACATACCCCATGATACACCCCCATCGCGGTTGATCTTGGCTCGTTCTTTCTTGGAGGATTTAGAATCACTAGGTGATGAGGGTGTTGGAGGGGCGTCAGGTACCGCCGGCGGTGGAGGAGGCGCCGGCGGTGGTATAGGAGGTGGCACATTGTCCCTAGATTTGCCCTTCTTGCTCTTCTTTGACTTCTTTTCTATTACTGGCGAGAGGTCAATAATTTCGACGATTTCATCTTCATTTTCAATATCATCTTCTTTCGGTATGCCCCTTGATTCCTGTTCAACGAGTGCCATGTTAAGGGGCTCAGCTGTTTCGTCTTCGCCGTTGGCTTCATCATGTACTTCCTCCTCGTGAACTTCTCGAGTTTGATCTTCATGTTCTTCGTCAGCCATTGGGAAACTGCCGGGAAGCCAATCTCTCCAGGAAGTCTTCTTGGTTTTCGGTTGCGGTGGTGGTGGCGGTGCGGGTTCTTCCTCCGGCTCTGATGGCTCAGGTACCACGTCAATCAAGTCACCCTCGAAATCATCTTCTGGCAATGGCTCTGGCTCTGGCTCTGGCGCTGGCTCTGGCGCTGGCTCGAACTTCTTGAGCTTTTCGGCGAGCTTATTTCCTTTGGCCTTCTTCTTCGGCATCCAATCGTCGCCGGTAGCCTTCGAAAATGCTGGCGTGGTCTCACCTACGGTGGTATCTTCCAGAAACTTGGTTGACTCAGCAATCGTAATCTCGGCTGCTGCTGAGTGATGGGGTTGAGAGATGCTTACCGCTTCAGGATGCGAGTTTACTGGGGTTGGCTTGGCACCCCAGAAGGAGAAGGCGTCCTCGCTTTTGGGCTTCTTTGGTGGCGCTAGGCCCGAAAGGATCTCATCAGCCTGTTCGGCCGTCAAGTTTACATCGTCGAGATTGAAATCGTCGTCATCCTTCTTCTTTTCCTTGCTGCTGGATTTGGATTTCTTGTCATCGGGTTTGGAGCTCTTCTTGGATTTCTTCTTAGAAGATGCAGCAGCTTCGGCCTCCTTTCGCTCGCGTTCTGCCTGTTCCTCAGCCTCGCGCGCAGCTTGAGCAGCCTCTTCTGCTTCACGCGCAGCTTGTTCCTCTTTCTCTCGTGCGGCAGCTTCCTCGGCTTCTCGGGCGGCCTGCTCTGCTTCAATCGCTGCTTGTACAGCTTCATCATCAGCTTCTTCGGCGCTAAAGAAACCGGCACGAGCGTTGATCTTTTCGGTAAGTTCGTCCAATCGGTCTTGATCCTTTTTCGTTAATCTCTTCTTTTTCTTGGCTTTTGCTTGGAGCGCCTCGAGCTCGGCATCCTCTGCGGCTTCTTCAGCCTCACGTGCGGCTTCTTCTTCTTCAGCTTTGCGAGCAGCTTCTTCGGCTTCACGAGCAGCTTGTTCTTCAGCCTCAAGGGCGGCTGCCTCTTCTGCCTCGCGTGCGGCTTGCTCCTCAGCGGCAGCTTGGGCATTTGCCTCGTCAGTGTCTACGCCACCCGCACGTGCGTTAATCTTTTCAGTAAGTTCGTCCAGCCTCTCCTGATCTGCCCTTGAGAATTTCTTCTTCCTCTTAGCTAATTTTGCTTGCAGTGCTTCCAGTTCTTCTTCTTCGGCTTTGCGAGTAGCTTCTTCTTCAGCATCACGAGCAGCTTGTTCAGCTTCGAGAGCGGCCTGTTCTTCGGCCTCGAGAGCCGCTAGCTCTTCTGCCTTACGAGCAGCCTCCTCTTCTGCCTCACGTGCGGCTTGTTCCTCGGCGGCAGCTTCGGCATCTGCTCCGTCGGTGTCTGCGCTAGCTGCGCGTGCGTTAATCTTTTCAGTAAGTTCATCCAACCTTTCCTGATCTGCCTTTGAGAATTTCTTCTTCTTCTTAGCTAATTTTGCTTGGAGTGCTTCCAATTCTTCCTCTTCGGCTTTATTTGCAGCTAGCTCTTCAGCTTCCCGAGCGGCTTGCTCTGCCGCTTCACGTGTAGCT